TCTACACTCTTTCCCCACGAACCCCAGTTTCATCCCAAATTTTTTCCTTAGATTTATTCCCAATCCCATTTTCCCTGTTTTTCCCATTTCTCCCGTTTTTCCTGGTTTTTTCCTATTTTTTCCCATTTTCCCCTGTTTTCCCTCTTTTTCCCCATTTTTCCTCATTTTTCCCCAGTTTTTCCCCGTTTCTTTCTCATTCTTCCCATTTTTTCCCATTTTCTCCCATTTTTTCCCCATTTTTTCCCCATTTTTTCCCCATTTTTTCCCATTTTTTCCTCCATTTTTTTCCCATTTTCCCCCTTTTTCCCCCTTTTTTCCCATTTTTCTCCAGTTTTTTTCCTGCTTTTTTCCCTGTTTTTTCCCCCTTTTCCCCCCATTTTTTTCCCCATTTTTTCCCTGGATTTTCCCCATTTTTCCCCATTTTCCCCAGATTTTCCCCATTTTCCCGCTGTTTTTTCCCATTTTCCCCGGATTTTCCCCATTTTCTCTGTTTTTTCCCATTTTCCCTGGATTTTCCCCATTTTTCCCCTGTTTTTTCCCATTTTCCCTGGATTTTCCCCATTTTCCCCCGTTTTTTCCCATTTTCCCTGGATTTTCCCCATTTTCCCGCTGTTTTTCTGGCAGCACCACGGTGGATCCCAGGGAAAAGCTGGAATTCCATCCTGGAAATCCCAGGAATTTCCCATACCACAAACCCCAATTTCATCTCAAATTTTCCCTGGATTTTCCCCATTTTTCCCATATTTTTCCCCATTTTTCCCCATTTTTTCCCATTTTTCTTCTGTTTTTTTCCTGCTTTTTTCCCTGGGTTTTCCCCCCATTTCCCCCCATTTTTTTCCCCATTTTTCCCCTGTTTTTCCCATTTTCCCCGGATTTTCCCCATTTTTCCCGCTGTTTTTCCGGCAGCACCACGGTGGATCCCAAGGAAAAGCTGGAATTCCTGGGCGGCGCCTGCCGGGCTCTGGCGGCTCCGGGCTCGCGGCTCCCGATGGACGAACTCCTGCCCCTGCTGCTCTTCGTGGTGGCCAGAGCCAGGTCCGGGAATTCCCATGGAATTCTGCATTTCCCATGGAATTCTGCATTTCTGTGGAATTCTGCATTTCCCATGGAATTCTGCATTTCCGTGGAATTCTGCATTTCCGTGGAATTCTGCATTCCCACCCTCTGGAATTCTGCATTTCCCATGGAATTCTACATTCCTGACCCCCTGGAATTCTGCATTTCCCGTGGAATTCTGCATTTCCATGGAATTCTGCATTTCCCATGGAATTCCACATTCCCAACCCTCTGGAATTCTGCATTTCCTCAGGAATTCTTTCATTCCCAACCCTCTGGAATTCTTTCATTCCCTCTGGAATTCTGCATTTCCTCTGGAATTCTGCATTCCCAACCCTCTGGAATTCTGCATTTCCTCTGGAATTCTTTCATTCCCTCTGTAATTCTTCAATTTCCTCCGAAATTTCATTCCCACCCTCTGGAATTCTGCATTCCCATGGAATTCTGCATTCCTGACCCTCTAACCCACAATAATTCCCAAATAATAATAATAAATATTCCCAAATTATTTCCCAATAATCCACAAATAATTCCCAAATAATTCCCAATTAATCCCCAAATAATTCCCAATTAATCCCCAATAAATTCCCAATTAATCCCCAATTAATTCCCAAATAATCCCCAATTAATTCCCAAATAATTCCCAATTAATTCTCAAATAAATTCCCAAATAATCCCAAATAATTTCCAATTAATTCTCAAATAAATTCTCAAATAAATTCTCAAATAAATTCCCAATTAATCCCCAATTAATTCCCAATTAATCCCCAAATAATTCCCAATTAATTCCCAAATAATCCCCAATTAATTCCCAATTAATCCCCAATTAATCCCCAAATAATTCCCAATTAATTCTCAAATAAATTCCCAAATAAATTCCCAATTAATTCTCAAATAAATTCCCAATTAATTCTCAAATAAATTCCCAATTAATTCTCAAATAAATTCCCAATAAATTCCCAATTAATCCCCAATTAATTCCCAATTAATTCCCAATTAATCCCCAAATAATCCCCAATTAATTCCCAAATCCCAATTAATTCTCAAATAAATTCCCAAATAATTCCAAATAATTCCCAATTAATTCTCAAATAAATTCGCAAATTCCCAATAAATTCCCAATTAATCCCCTGTAAATTCATAAATTCCCAATTAATCCCCTGTAAATTCCCAAATAATCCCCAATTAATCCCCAATAAATTCCCAATCAATCCCCAATTAATCCCCAATTAATTCCCAAATAATTCCCAAAATAATCCCCAAATAATTTCCCAATTAATCCCCAATCAATCCCCAATTAATTCCCAAATAATTCCCAAAATAATCCCCAAATAAATTCCCAATAAATCCCCAATAAATCCCCAATAAATCCCCAATTAATCCCCAATTAATCCGCAGTTAATCCCCAATTAATCCCCACCCTCTCCACATTCCCGAGAGATTTTTCCCGGATTTTGGGATTCGTTTTTCCTTTTTTCCCGGATTTTGGGATTCGTTTTTCCTTAGGATCCAACACCTGGGAGCCGAAATCCACCTGATCCGGGATTTCATGGATCCATCCCAGCAGGGCGGAATGTCAGATTTCCTGCTCACGGCGCTCGAGGTCAGGGAAGTTTTTCCTGGAATTCCTTGGGAATTCCCGGGATCCGCGGGAATTTTCCGGCTGCAAGAGCTCGGATTTAATCCCGGAATTCCCGATTTTTTTTCCCTGATTTTTCCGCTCTTTTCCCTCCTCAGTCGTGCTACGAACACATCCAAAGGATCCGGATTCATCCCAAAGAAAATTCCCACAGTTCCTGATCCCTTGGGAAAAATCTTCTTCATCCCGAATTTTCCAGCTGGAAAAATCGGGAATTTCATCCCTGGCTGCTTTTAAGGGAAGGAATTCCTCCCCAGCTGAGGTTTTCCCATCCCAAAAATCACTGGAAAAGCTGGAATTCCAACCTTGATCCCATTTTCCCATCAAGAATTCCCGGGAAAAATTCCGGAATTCCCGCCTTGATCCCATTTTCCCATCAAGAATTCCCGGGAAAAATTTTCCTTTTCCTGCTTCGGGATTTTTAATTTTTAATTTACACTGGAGAATTCCCAGGAAAAAAAAAAAAAGGAATTTTTTGGGATGGGAAATGGATCCCAAAGCTCTGAAAAATTCCTGGAATGAGGGAAAAAAAATGTGGAAAAATTTTCACTTTTCCCGCTTTTCCTGAGTCAGGATTTTTGGAATTTCCCATTCCCAAAATTCCTGATTTTCCCGTGGTTTAATTCCCTCTCAGAGCTCAGGAAAAATGTGGATTTCTCCCGTATTTTGGGGAAATTCCAGGAAAACTACGGGAAAACAGGAATAGAAACTCCAATCCCTGCCCCGATTCCCTTTGGAAAAGGAAAATTCGGGATATTCCCGATGAATTTTTGGGATATTCCCGATGAATCTTTGGGATTTTCCCGAAACAGCCCCAAAATTCCATTTTTTAAACATCTTTTATCCCGATTTTTTCATTTTTCCCTGGATTTCGTTTTCCTTTTCCAGGCGATTCCTGGGAAAACAAAACTCCCCCGGGATTTTTTCCCGCTGTTTTTTCCCCAAGTTTTCCTCATTTCTTAAATCCTGGAAATTTTTGGGAAGGAAAATTGGAATCCAAAGCTTTAAAGAAATGGGAATTTGGTCATTTTTCCCAGAATTTTTTAAATTTTTCCCAAAATTTTTTAATTTTCCCTGGATTTTTTTTAATTTTCCCAGGATTTTTTTTTAATTTTCCCAAAGGATTTCCATAATTTTTCCTGATTTTTTGTCATTTTTCCAAGGGTTTTTTGATTTTTCCAGCATTTTTTTTTTTGCCTTTTTATTTTTCCCAGGAATTTTTTTATTTTTTCCAGGATTTTTCTTTTTTTTTATTTTTCCAAGGCATTTCTGTAATTTTTCCTGAATTTTTGTAATTTTCCATTGGGATTTTTCCATTTTTCCCAGGAAATTTTGTCATTTTTCCCAGAATATTTTCATTTTCCATCGATTTTTTTTAATTTTCCCATGGGATTTCTGTCATTTTTCCTGAATTTTTGTCATTTTTCCAAGGGATTTTGTCATTTTTCCAGGATTTTTTGCCATTTTTCCCAGAATAATTTTATTTTTCCCAGGATTTTGTCATTTTCCCTGGAATTTTTTATTTTCCTGAGGATTTTTGTCATTTTCCATTGGGAATTTTCAATTTTTTCCCAGATTTTTTTCATTTTTTCCCAGGATTTTTTTTTTATTTTCCCCAGGAATTTTCAATTTTTCCCAGAATTTTGTGATTTTTCCCTGGAATTCTTTCATTTTTCCAAAGGATTTTTGTCATTTTCCCAGAATTTTGTGATTTTTCCCAGGAATTTTTAATTTTTCCTGAATTTTTTAAATTTTTCCTGAATTTTTATCATTTTTCCCTGGATTTGTTTTTTATTTTCCCAAGAATTTTTGTTATTTTTCCCAGATTGTTTTTTTATTTTTCCCTAGATTTTTTTTTTTTTATTTTTTCCAAGAAATTTTTGTCATTTTCCCCAGGAATTTTTAATTTTTCCTGAATTTCTATCGTTTTTCCCAGAGTTTTTTTCATTTTTCCCAGGAATTTTTTTCATTTTTCCCAGGAATTTTTTATTTTTTCCAAGGATTTTTGCCATTTTCCCAGAATTTTGTCATTTTTCCGAGGAATTTTTAATTTTTCCTGAATTTCTATCATTTTTCCCAGAATTTTTTTTTATTTTTTCCCAGGAATTTTTAATTTTCCCAAAAATTTTTGTCATTTTTCCCAGGAATTTTCATCACTTTTCCCTGGATTTTTTTTTTTTTATTTTTCCCAGAATTTTTGTTCTTTTTCCCAGGAATTTTTCCCCCCCCCAATTTTCCCTCCCATTTTCCCAACTTCCATAAAAAACCCCGGAATCCCACAGGAATTTCACCAGGAATTTTTTATTTAAATAAAACTGGGAATTCCCAAATAATTCCAGCCTCCGCGTTCTCCTTATTCCCAATTTTCCATTGGAATTCTTTCCAGCAATCCGAGAATTTTCTCCATTTCTTGGGATTTCTTGGGAATAAAACCCCTCAAATTCCCCACTGGAAAACTGGATAAAAATTCCAAGGAATTCTCTGGAAAACGAGGCCGATTTCCGCTTCCGCTTCCTAAAACTTCCCAAAATTCCAAGTTTTTTTCAGCTCCGGCCTTTTGTGCTTCCAGCTTTTTGATTTTTCCAAGGAAAAGCAGGAAAGGGGACGCTCCCCTTGGAAAATCCGACGGAATTCCGGGTGGGAATTCCCGACTTTCCCATTCCCGTTTTTTTCCTCGGGATGATTCCAGGCAGATTCAGATTTTTCACGGAATCGATCCCCGTATGGAATTTTCATGGAAAAATTTCTAAATTTCATGGAATTTAATTTGGAAGAGCCAAATCCAGCTCCACCTTCCAGGGAATTCCATGGAATTCAGCTGGAATTCCCAAAAAAAAAAAAAGCTGGAGCTGGGAGAGCTTTTCCGGTTTTCCTCTTCCAGGTTTGATCCACCGGGAATTTTTTCCCTGAGCGAGGCTCAGAATCCATAAAAATTCCAGGATTTTCCTTCAGCTTAGATGGGTTTTCCCAAATTCCTCTGAACTCTGGGAATTTCTTCCTCATTCCTGAATTTTCTCGCTCCTCCTGTTGGATTAAAGCTCCAAATCCTTCGGAATAAAGGCGGGAAAATCGGGAATTCCCGTGTCCATCGTCGCTTCCAGCTCCGGCTTCAACAGGAATTCCATGGAATTCCACAAATTCTGTGAAGTTCCATGGAATTCCTGAGCTGCACCCGGAAAAGTCACGGAATTCCCGTCCAATCGAGGGAATTTTTTTCAGAATCCGTAAAAAATCCGGGATTTTCCTTCAGCCGGGACGGCTTTTCCCGAATTCCTCCGGGAATTTCGGGAATCTTGGGAATCTCGGGAATCTTGGGAATGGAGAATTCCCATCAGGGCGGTGTCCAAGGCCTTTTCCAGCCTCTGGAGCAGCTCCGGAGGGGGTGGAGAGGGGGGCGGGAGCCGCTGGAATTCCTCGTTTGCACTTAACGAGCGCAGCACCGCGGCCAGGCGCTGCAGGTCGAACACGGCGTGAGGAATTCCCAGGGCGGGGACGGAGCCGCGGGAATTCAGGCTGGGAACAGAACTTTGGGAATTCAGGCTGGGAACAGAACTTTGGGAATTCTCTGGTGTTTCCAAGGTGGGAACAGAACTTTGGGAATTCTGGGGAGTTTCCAAGCTGGGAACGGATTCTTGGGAATTCTGAGGAATTTCCAGGTCAGGAACGGATTCTTGGGAATTCTGTGGAGTTTCCAGGCCAGATACAGAATTTTGGGAATTCTGCAGCGTTTCCAGGCCTGGAACAGAACTTTGGGAATTCTGGGGAGTTTCCAAGCTGGGAACAGATTCTCGGGAATTCTGGGTAATTCCCAAAGTGGGAACAGAACTTTGGGAATTAAGGCTGGGAACAGAATTTTGGGAATTCAGGCTGGGAACACAATTTTGGGAATTCAGGTTGGGAACAGAACTTTGGGAATTCTGGGGAGTTTCCAAGGTGGGAAGGGATCCTTGGGAATTCTGGGTAATTCCCAACGTGGGAACAGAACTTTGGGAATTCAGGCTGGGAACAGAATTTTGGGAATTCTGTGGAGTTCCCAAGGTGGGAACAGAACTTTGGGAATTCTGCGGCGTTCCCAGGGTGGGAACAGAACTTTGGGAATTCTGGGGAGTTTCCAAGGTGGGAAGGGATCCTTGGGAATTCTGGGTAATTCCCAGGGTGGGAACAGAACTTTGGGAATTCTGCGGCGTTCCCAGGCCGGTTACGGATCCGGGGGAGTTTTCCCGGGATGAGAATTCCCGGTTTTCCAGCAGCGCCAGGCGGCTCTCGGCCAGCAGCCGCAAGAAGTTGTAGAATTCCGGGAAGTCGATGCCGGCGCAGGATTTCAGCAGGAGCTGGAACAAAGGGAAAAGGGATTGGGAATGAGAGAGGGGAAAAATCCCAGCTGGAATGGGGGAGAATTGGGTTTAAATAAAATTATTATTATTATTATTTTATTATTATCATCATCATCATCATCATTATCATTATTATCATCATTATTATTATATTTTATGTTTTATATTTTATATTTTATACTTTATATTTTATATTATTATTAATATCAACATCAATATCAATATTATTAAGAGCATTAATAGCATTAATAGAATTATTACTATTACTTACTACACTTTTACACTTATTACTATTACTACTATTATTATATTACTCTTATTATTACTATTATTATTAAATAAGATAGTATCATACTATAATTAATATTAATTATTATTAATGTGTTAACATTATTATATTGATATTATTACACAAATATTATTATTACTATATCATTATTACTATCTCGATATTATATTATATTATATTATATTATATTATATTATATTATATTATATTATATTATATTATATTATATTATATTATATTATATTATATTATATTATATTATAC